GATCAATACCCAGTCCCACATGCTGCACTGGTCCCACACCCAGGGCTTGCTGATTGGGAGATGGACTCTGGACGTGGTGGTACATGCCTGTAATACCAGCTCTTGGGAGGCTGAAAGGGGGAAGATCACTACAAGTCCAAGCTGCATAGGGAGACCCCATACCAAATACATAAAATGAAAAAAAAAAATCCTGTGCAAAATGGTGCTCCGTGAAAAAGTATAGTATAACTCAGTGAAGGATTATTATATATCATAATTCATCACTGCATATGCTATAGCTTTATTATATAAGCAATTATTTTTCAATATAATTTATTGTGAATAAATTGACTGTAAATATAATACATTCTAGACACTCAGAGTATGAAGAAATTGCAGTGCGTTGATAATAAAGATGAACATTTTGACAGGTAACTCCAATACAGTGTGACAGGAAGTAGGAAAGGATTATGGTGAAGGAAGACAGCAGGATAAAGCTTCACACAAGTCACTTCAGTAGCATATCTATTTAATCACCTGAATAAGACTAAAATAACTCTGACTTTATGACAGAGAATCATTAGGCACTGCAGAGTTTGGTAAGGAGAAAGACTAGGACTGCTTTGCTTCAGTGTGTCACAACAGGCCAACCCATTCTTTTATAACTCTCCTATTCCACTACAGATTTGTGAAGTAACTTGGCTCTGTACTTCTTTATCCATGGTCTAATCTGTAGGAAGGGAGTAGAGGAAAGGCAGGCTGCTAGACTGCTAATTCAGCTCCCTGATCTAGAAGGATGTCCTTGGAGTCCCTTTATTCTTACCACAAGTCCAGCTCAGAAGTGCAAGGGAGTTATCATACTCCCTGATGCAAAGATGAATTCTTTCTCTTCCTAGAATATAGTGGGGTATTTTGTAAGCACATCACAGTCCTAGTCCATAGTTATGTATGATGCCACAGCATCAACCTTGGCAAGACATCTTTGTATGGGCATCTTACTGTCCTTGCTTTTACTCTCTTATTTCTGGATATTATCTCCTTAACAATCTGCTGGTATCCAGTCCTTTGTCTCAGGCTCCCTCTTTAGGGGAAACCAAATCATCCAATGGGATAGAGCAGCTATCCTGACTAATTAGAATGGATATCTGATGATCCATAATGTGACCCCATTGAGCATCAGCTCTGTGTAAATTCACGAAACTAGGAAATCGCCTGTGGGTATTGGAAAGTCAGTGAGAAGCAAGAGTGACTGTAGGGGAGACCCCACGCAGAAAGGAGCAGAGCAGTTGGGATGCTTAGGCTGGTGCTTTGATCTGCTTGGCTACTTTAACAGGTTATCACACACGTGGTCTAAAAGGCAGACGTTTACTTCTTACCATCCTGTGGGTTGGGAGTCCATGGTCAGTGTCAGCACGGGAAGCTCTTGGTGAGGACCTTCTCCCTGGCTTACAGGTGCCAGCGTCTTGCTTTCTCCTCACACAGAACAAAGATCATCTCCCTCATGTTTCCTCTTACACGGGCATGAACACCATTCACGAGCTCTCTGATCGTGTACTTCTTGGCTTTTTGTTACTATAACAAAATATGGAAAGCAGGCTACTTTATTTTTGAAGAAAGATTTATTCAGCTCACAGTTTTAGAAGCTAGAAGCCCAAACAGCATCAGCCAGGCTCTGGAAAGGTCCTCCTTGGCAATGTCACACAACATCAGGATAATATGTGTATTTCTGTCCTGCTTTCTCTAAAGCCATCCAATATAGCCGTGGGAGCTTTAGCCTAATGGTTTTACCTCTGCTTTGTCATTTGCTCACGGCTACCTCTAAACATCTTGGTTCAAGTTTCCACCCTTTTATTTATTTATTTATTTATTTATTTGGCTGAGCTGGAGGCAAACACACAGCCTTGCCTGGATAAGGCCAATACTCTTCCATGGAGCCTCAGCTCCATCTCCCAACCATTTTGACACCACTCATAAATGACTTTGGGAATTAAACTCCCATGTGAGTTTGGAGAGACAAACTATGTTGGAACCGCAGCAAGATCTATTCTGCATACTGGACAAAGGCCCCACCTGCCAGCACCATTATACTTGGGCTTGGGCTTCCGGGTGGCTTTCGAGGATGGCATAACTGTGTAATGCATAACACTTGGGTTTAAATTGTGAAGGCAAATAATTGTAGAACATGTATATATTTAATATGGATATTACCAATTCATGTGATATAAATGTTCTCTATGTGGGTATGTTTAAATGTATCTGTAGATAAAATAAAAGATCTATATTTACTTCAAAAGGCATCACAGGAAACCAATAAATGAGAATTTCTCTGTTTCTTATGCACTTTAGGAAAGGAGTAATGTGTTTTAACTGTGGTTCAAGGAGTACATATTGAGAATAAATTACATGGGGGTAATTTTGCAAGAGAAGGGATTCTCTAAAGAGGTGACATTGGACATCTGAGAGGTAGGTGAAAGTTTAAGTTGATATAGGTACTAGAAGCACAGCACAGCACAATGGGAAGCAAACAGAGATAAAAATGAGGGAATTAAGTTGATATTGAAAGCATTTGACACATAATCTTAGAAGGTAGCAAACAGCGAGATTAGATTTCTTTCTTTTCTTTTATGGTTATTCTGAGACACATTCTCATTTTGTAATTTAAGATGGTCTTGAATTTGCAGTAATCCTCCTGCCTCTGTCTCCTGAGAGTTGAAATTACAGGCATACACTACCACACCTGGAAAGAGTGGACTTTGATTATGAAACAGAATGCAGGGCTGGTGTACAATGAGTGCTTGAAAAACTGGATGTGAAGGACCATGCCAGGAAGAGCCTAATCCCTTCCCATATGCCTCAACTACTTTCTTTGTTGCTCACACATGGGACCCAACACTTGGAACCCATGAGGGGAAGGGTGGTTTTCATGTTTGCAGCATACTAAGAGCTGGCTCCAGGGCAGAGGGCATGTGGGGAGGTTAGAGCGGAGGACTCCTGCTTGCCTCTTGGTGGCTGGGAAGCAGGAAGCCCAGGGAGGACCCCCAGAGGGAGGCGCCCCCTCCAGCTCCCGCCCCCGTGATCTGCCAGCTCTACCTAGGCTCCACCTCCTGACAGCTAATCAGCTATTGCACCCTATGGTCCAGTCACCTTCTAATAGCCCTGCCTGTGAGCGTATAGGGGATTTGAAACACATTTTTTAAAAATCTAAACCATGAAACCAGGCCTTCTGAGTTCTTCAAGCCAACTTTCTAATTATCATGGAAAATGGAATCCAAGCCCTATAAAATCACATTATTTGTGGCATTTCTTTTATATCTGAGGGATTTCAGAAAAATGAGTTCAATATATTAAAAGTTTCTGAGTTCACTTTTGATGATTAAGTCCTGACTGGCACTACACTCTGACAAATGGCTACACATCTGTTTCCATGTGTCACCTAATTGTTCTGCCTACAAGTTTCAAAGGCTGAATAGTGGGGACTCACTGGTAGGCCTCAGGTACCTGCCAGAGCAGGTGTCAGCCCCTGACAGTCCTGATGAGAAGGGATGCTTCCCTCGGGATAAACGACTGTTGTTCTTCCCCGCAGTGCTCCAGTCCTACTGGAGCCACTACGAAGTCGGGTTGATTTGCTCAATAAATACCTTATTGATCGTAGGCCATATTCCAACAATCAGAACATTATCTTTGGAGACAAGAAGGTGGAAAGAGGCAGATCTTATGACCCTCAGGGGCTTTACAGGCTGATGCAGAGAAAAATGCCCCTGCGTTTTCCTGCTGTTTGTCTGCACTTCCTCTGTTTTCACAGGACTAGAGGCGGGCACAGGAGACCTTGCCATCAGTTGCAGGATGTGAAAGAAGGGAGCTGAAGAGCTTCCTGTGGCTGCCGCAACAAGCTACTTCCCAGGGACTCTGCAGTGATGAATGCAATCTCCTACAGTTTCAGAGGCTAGACACTCTCAGCATGTCACCAGGAAGTCGGCCTCTGTGGTCCCTTTGCTTCTCCCTCTTCTGTCTGTCTCCCTCTGAGAAATCTGTAGGAGAACAGATATTCTGTCTGTCTGTTTCTCTCTCTTTCTCTCTCTCTCTCTCTCTCTCTCTCTCTCTCTCTCTCTCTCTCTCTCTCTCTCTCTTCATTCTCTTTGTCTTTTTATCTCTTTCTGTCTGTCTCTGTCTCTATCTCCCTTTCTGTCTTTCTCTCTGTTTGTCTTTCTGTTTGTCTCTCTGTTTCTGTCTGTCCCTATCTCTTTCACCCTTTCTGTCTGCCTCTGTCTCTTTCTCTCTGTCTCTGTCTCTCTCTCTCTCCCCTTCTCTCTCTGTGTCTTTCTGTCTGTCTCTCTCTCTGTCTCTCTCTCTCGCTCACTCACTCGCTTTCTCACTCACTCGCTCTCATGAAAAGTTGCATGAGATTATACCTAGGGCCCACCTAAGTACCTAGGGATTAGGACTTAACCATACCTGTTAGGGACCAAAGCCCAATCCATCAGAGGATCATCATTCTTTCTTTACTTTTCTTTTATATTTTATCAGCACGTGGTTGTAGTACATGAAGGTTACATTCATCTTGGGGAGTAGGTGTACATAATGCAGTTATTTCTTTCTTAACCCCTACCTCCTTCCCTCCATCTGTAAATCTGCCTTTCCCATTTTATTCTTGTTGTTAGTATTAATCTCAGCTCAGGTTTATGGTGTATAATGCTTACATTTGGTATGGCTGTTTGGACCTGTCCGGGAGGGATCTTAAACCATTTTACTTCCCCTTCCCTGACCTCCCTTTCTTGCCTTCAGCCTCCTGCTCCTTCTCCTCACAAGCGATCTACCCCCCTGTTGCTTTCTCTCTCTCCTTTGTTTTACTTTGCATCTGCACTTTGCCTTAATCTTAAAAGAGATCTACACTGTGTTTAAGCTTTCACAGCTGGTCTGTGTCTCCTTCTAGCTGAGCAGTGTCCCTTCCCGTACGGACATCACATTTGCTTCGTCCACTCATCTGCTGCTGGACACGCAGGCTGCTTCCTAGGATACAGCTGCTACTCACTGTCCCGCTATAATCTGAAAAACCTGGTGAGAGTCCTCATCTGCAGTGAATGCCTGCCTTATCTGAAAGGAATCCGACAGGTAAAGAAGATAGCGAACATGAATAAAAGCAATGTGAACACAGAGCCAGGTCATGACTCCAAGACACCTTCATCCAGCTGTAGCTTAATAACATACTAAGTTACTCCAAGTGTACCTTCAGCACGGGAATGTGCAGCCCTAGAACACAGAGTTACTTCAGGACTTACGTGAAATTATATATTGTGCATACCATATAAAATATAATTATATACATTACGCTAAGCATTTTATGTTTGCATATATTATATAATGTACAGCTATAGGTATGTATACATATGTATAAAGAATTTATATATATATGTATATGGTTTTATATATTAAATATCATGCAGTGTTGCAAACAGGAGCTTCACAAGCATTTCCCTCAAAAGTACCCTATACGTATTAAATACTGTTATTATGGTGATGGTGATTATTATTAATTATGAGACTGTTTTCCTTCCAGAATTGAGCAGACAGGCAAAGCCATCTTGGCCATCTTGTTCTTCCCCACTGAGTTAGTCATACTGGCTTGCACCACTCTCGTAATTTCTGATGATGTCTTTATGTAACAGGCCTTATTACTTCCACCTTATGCCCCAGACTTTCTAAATCACAGTGGCCTTCAAGGAAAGAGGAAGTGCATCTCTTGTTAAAGCTGTTGTCTGTAGTCTGCTGTGATGAAGAGAGTTCTTGGGGTGGGAACGAACGGAGGTGTGGGTTCACCATAACTCTCCGGAATTCAAGTGATCTGTTAAGAGGGGTGCTCTTGGAGGAATGTATCTTTTTAAAATATAGGGTAAAGGTTGCACCAAAGGTTTTACAGCAATTTTCTGGGGTGATTTTCTCTCAGTAGATTTCTTTGCTTAAGTGCCCCTAATGACAACCTTAAGTGGAAATGGAAATGTTTGGCTAATGCATGCTCAGATTGGAAGTTGTGGGCTCTTTGGGGAGCCCCGTGTGGCTTGATGAGCCATCAACTGTTGTTTTCCTTTACACACTTAAAAATCAGCATGAGGAAAAATCATTACAGTTATTTCTAACAGAGTGAAAGAGAAATTAAAAATAAATTGAATCAAAAGCTAAAGAAATCTCAGAGTCTCTGCATTAGCAGGATCAATTCAGATGCACTAAAGAGAGCAGAGACTGCTTGTCATGGAATCAGAAGTGACCTGCCCATGAAGCCAGAGAATGACTCTGTCAGTGTAGAGTTAGTGGCATCAGAAATGAAGATGTATCTCTTCTTTGATATAGTATGTACACCTTGAATGCTGCAGACATAGGTTCTCCATGTATAAATCACATTATTTTCAAAGATTGTGTTCATTTTCTTATTGTATATGCCAAATGTGTGTTTGTTCATACATAAAAATTGTGTAACTATATTCTCAAATTTCATTCAGCTGTTCAACAGAACTAATTTGTTCTTTGCACATGACAGTATGTATATAATGTAAGGAGAGACTTATTTTTGAATTCTGCAAATGATTTATGATCGCTATTTAGGATTTTCAAAATAGTGACAAAAAAATGAACTATAAGCTCAACAGCCTAGGTTGTAAGGTAATAACAATAAGCTTCTCTTTGGAGGGTTAACAACCTAAGTTTGCAGACCAATAATTGGAGAAAAAGAAGGGCTGCAAGGACAGCCAACATTTTGGCCCTAGCCTTTCAAGGTCAGAGAAGACTCAGGACATAAAAGAACCTGTACTGTAACATCATGTAACTCAGTTGTGTCCCAGATTTTATGATCAAAGAGATTATGACTCCAAAGAGGAAAGTGATTGAGGATGTAGAGTGTGCCTAAGGAGAGTCACATGGAAAGAAAACATTTTTTTCAGTAAATTGGTCAAGCAATGGCTGCGACTCATCCACATGGCTGACACTGACAAAGGATCTACAAACTGTAGTACAGGGTTTCAGGATAAACCCTGAGGGGATTTGACTGACCTTGTCAGATACAAAACTTACAATTCTTGTTACATAGGTCTTGCTTTATCTTGGTCTTAACCATCCAGCAGAAAGGTATAAAAACAAAGTATAAGAAGTAAAGCCATATTATTATGCTGAGTTGTAAAAGACTCAAGTCAACAACTTCTGAAATTGCCAGTCATATGAAGAACCTAATACTATTATGGACTACTGGACTATTTTGGAATATTTTGCTGAAATCACACACCTATAATATTTATATGACAAAACTAAACAAAAAAGGGGATACAAATGAACGACCATTTTGTATCTGTATATTCAAAATAGTTAAAATAGACATACAGCTACATTCTCCTAATTCAGTGAAGAGAAGGATTTATCATGTCTGCATCTTGTACACTGAATAACCTCTAAGAAAATAATATGCAACGTATTAATTATTGAAACTGTCCTACTAACTTGATTTGAAACTGTCTCATTGCTATTTGTTTCTCAATAAAACCATGACTTTCTTGTTGGAGAACAGCAAGCAGGGATGATATGTTTTAGATTTAGTTTCCCTGTTTCAGAAAAGAGATTTTTCTCTCCATGGCTTTAACACAAATTAAAAGTGTTTAGAGATTAATTTCAAGACATACTATCAAAGTAGTATCATTTTGGCTGAATTGGGCTTGAGTTCCTCTTCCATGCCAGGACAGAATGGTGTAACCGGTTATCAGTGCACTGAGATTAATTCTATCTGTATATATATAAAAAAATTGAAAAACAGTGAGGAGAATGTTAATTTTATAACTTGAAACATTGATTTCTGTGGGATTTATTTTTTCATCTTTTTACTTCATTTGTGAAACAGTAATTGCCTAGTCCTTGTCATTAGAAACACTTCTTAAAATGCCAACTTTATAGTAGCACACCACAGTCCAACTTGGATATTTTCCATTTCAGAAGTGGTAACTCTAGTAAAAACTTTACATAGCACTAAAATTCATTGCCCATGGCATGTTATAATCTTAATCAAAGAGACAACCTTTCTAGTGGACTGCATGAAATAGAATTTATGGGCTAATCATTAATTAATTAAAAAGAAGACTTGATCTGACATGGGATTTAAGTCAGAGCTGAACTTTTACAGTGAAAGTAAAAAAGAATCTGAATCTCAATGAACAAAGAATGTTTTCTGTACACAAGACAGTTTTACGGTTTGTAGTCCCTCTTTGTCAGTGCTGCTTAACTGAAGGTTAGGTGACATAGCTTGTTTTTTGAAATTGACACAAGTGGAAAACAACGTTAATAGTTCAAAATGTGTGTACTGAGCAACACGAATTATTGGCGTAGGAACCCTGAGAATTGTGCAATAAATAAAATAAAGTAAATGAAGTATTGATCAAAAATGTGCAGGATCTTCTATCCTAGGACAGCAGATTTAGCATGTATATAAGTGAATAAACAAAGTACCAAGAACAGGAGAAAGAAGTGCAGAGGTAATGAAAGTCCTTTGTGGATTTAGGCAACGGAGATCACACTGGTCAGAAAGGGGAAGGAAGGCTTGGCATTTGTAGAAATAAATATAATTACAAAAATAATCGTGCATATTTTATAGTGTTTGCTACTCATCACTTTTCTAAAAGCTATCAAATAGATTTACTCAATCTACTCAACAACGTCTTACAAAAATTATTATGTTCTTCATCGTACACATGAGGAAAGAGGGACAGAGCAGTCAAAAAATTAACCTCTACTACAGAGCTTGCAAGTCCAGGGGTGTGGAGCCCAGATTTCCTGAGGGCTGGGTCAGGCCCTGGGTGTATATAAACTGCCACTTGGGGTAGACACGTGTGTTTTGTTGCTTAGGACATTCATTTCTCATTGTTGCTGTAAGAAATTATCATGCACATGCTAGATTGAAACATAGCTGTATTGTATCATGGATTACAGTTAGGCAGTCTAACGTGGGTGCTACTGGGTTAAGTTCAGAGGGCAGTACTGCATAACTCATCTGCAGCTGTTACGTGGGCATTTATGTCCTGGCTTTTTCTTGCTTCTGAAGGTTGTTCATGCCACTTGTTGGCATGTGTTCCTTCTCTGTGTGCAAATTTCACAGTTCATCACTTTCACCTCTGCTTCTGTTATCTTATCTTTTTCTCTGACTCTGTCACTCCCTTCTCCCATTTATTTTCATAAGGACAATTTTGACTACATTAAACCCAATTGAATACTCTTATATTAAAGTCAGTTTCTTAGCATTTTTGATTCTGTCTTACGCCTAAGTCCCTATTGTCATGTCATAACATATCTACCGGTCTTAAAATTAAAACATAAATGACAGGCCAGAAAGCTTAGTGGATTAAAGCACCCGCTTAGGCAGAACACAGTGGCCAGGTTTTGATCCCTGGTGTGCTGTGCAGGCCCCACCCCAAGGGATCCCTGACGTGGTGATTGAGACTGGGGGTGGTGGCTTGTGCCTGTAATCCCAGCTCTCGGGAAGTGCTGAGACAAGAGGATCACTACAAGTCTGAGCTGCATAGTAAGACCCTGTTGACTATGTACTAAAATACACACACACACACACACACACACACTCCCCTTAAACTTATTTAGGGTGCGTTATTGAGAGTGCATTATTCCATGAATTTTGGTTTAGTAACAATAAAGAAAAAGATCCATTAAGGGATGGAAAATCCTGTTTAGAAAAATTAGAAAGGGATAGTTTGCAAAGAGCCTAGAACTGCAAGTGGCTTTAAATAAATGATCAGTTAAAGAGAAGTCAACAAATCAATATCTATATCTCGAAAACACCTTGAACAGCAAGGTAATTATTTTTTCCAGTCTATTTTGAAACATGTAAAATCCACAAATATTTACCAATCATTTCTGATGTGTTGGGGTGTGTAATAACATATAAATGGTTTATTTCATAATTGCCTTAATTTGATAAAATGTAAAGGAGTCAACTGTATGAGATTTTTAAAGAGGTTCCCAGATATGATGTCAAACTCCTCATAACTTTCAAATCTGGCCATCTTGGGATCTACAAGGAGTCCTTCCTGTGATGTGTAAGTTTCTGTTCTGCTTCACTGTGAGAAAACTGAGAAACAAGGAGTAAATGCAGAAGTTAGAGTACACACAGGCTGGTGCACATGACGTGCAAGCCTGAGTAAAAGGGCCTGGTGACATGAGCTGGAATCTCACCTGCCTTTGAGCATTCGCCTCCTAACAGGAGACCTACACATTCTAGAGCACTAAATCCCAGCAGAAAAGAGGAATGCCAGCCCTGTCCAGCAAGGCTGCTTCCTAACAAAAGAATAGGATTTTTCCCCTTTGCTTTAACAATCAAAATTTCCCATGGACAGAGTAAAGAAATAAATAAGAAAAGGAAATCCCTAAGTATCATATTCCCAGATTTTCCTCTTATAAGCAACACACAGAGTAGGGAAGATATATTCGCCTACTACGCCCCCAGGTCAAGTTCATCTTCTGCAGTTTCCATCTCTATGGCTGTGCTGTGGTCTAAAGGGCTATGTCCTCCTAGGACTTGTCAAAGTGTCACCCCAATGTGATGTCATTAGAAGGTGGCGCCTTGGAGAGGTGATTAGGTCTTTGAGACAGCCCCCCAATGCTATTCATGCCCCAGTAAAGTGTCTCCAGAGAGCTCTGTTAGCCTCTATCCTGACATGTGAGGATTTGAGATGATGGCACGCTTCTCCTTGGAAGGGGCTGTCACCCCAACTCAGTCATCCTGGCTCCCCGATATTAAGTCTCCACAACAGTGAAAAAGCATACTTCTTTTGCTTAAATCACATAGTAGAATATTTTGCTACAGCTGACTGCACTAAATTGAACCCACTTGTGAACAATCCCTGCCTCTTGTGTTTCATTCACTGACTCACTGCAGTTATTGCAAAATGTAGCTCTTTCCCAGATGGGATTCTTCAGTCCCAGTTCTAAAATGCATCATCATGTCACTGAAATATGCTGGAGTTCTGTTGTCATTGCCTCCTCAGAGCCACGTTCCCTTCTGCTTTACGTAGCTATGTTATGGCTGCACACAAGCTACTGCACCCAAGATACTGCACCTCCAGAGACCGAGTCAGTGGCTGGTCTTCATTCTTGAAGATCTACATTCTGACTGCTCTGCTCCGTGCACATTTTCCAGTACACACTGCGGTCTTGTTAATTGCTGCCTCTGTGCCAATGTGGCACCCAACTCCAGTACTGAACTTCATCATTATTACGTATGTAACAATCATATCTGCTCTATTGTAAAAATGAGCATAATAATAATAACTATAATATATAAAAATATATTATTATATAAAAGAATTTATCCCACATAAGGAGTTGTTTATGACATAATCTTATATGTTTTCCTAAACAACACTAAGCACAATTTTTGTATGAGTCAGTTAATTCTCACAGGAAGTCTGATAGTCCAGTTGCTTTTCCCTGTTGCCTGGAGGAAGTTGAGGCTCTTAGAGGTCATATGACTTTCTGAATGTCACCTAGATGCTAAATACAAGTCTGGATATTAATTGGGACATTCTAATTATGAAATATATCAATAATGGTTTTGAATACTTATCTAAATATTAATAGACAAAAGAATAAAAGCTATATGTTG